ACAGCACACAAGTTCAAACCTGTCTTGACTGGTTAAATGGCATCCGCTTTGCTGCACATGCCCCCACAGCACATAGGCAACAACTATAACAACCTGTTTCCTAAGGTTTAGACACAAGGTTTCTTCCAGCAGAAAAGGTTTCTGCCCTTTGTCACTGACCTTATGCCAGGCAAAATGTCCAGATTAGCAAAAACATTATTTAAACTCTTTAAGTCTTACTCCTCTAATTTTGCTTTAAATAGACCAGGGAACACACACACCTTAGTTGGAAGGTAAGAGCAGGTGCCAGCTAGTCCATCAAACTGAGGCTGACTGACAGCCTCTTCAGACAAGCCACAGTGGGGGTAGAATTAGATGGGCTTACTCATTAGTACATTTCATATCATTCCCATCAAAACTAAGAGGCCAGCATCCATGGTCAGATGGCTAACTATGCATAAAGGCTCAAAATAGCTGACCTTCTCAGGAGCATTGTCACTGGCAAAGTGCGGGGGACATTAGCTTAGAGCAAAGTTTGAGAACATTGGCACAGCACTGTGCTGGATTGTAACATTTTCTCTTGCAAAAGGCGCTTCAGATAGAAAAGATAAAGGTGAAGAGCTAGATGAGGGAAAACTGGTTTACCTTCTGTGTGGGAACCTGTCTCCAGTCACAGAACCCAAGGTTGTGGGAGATCATGGGCAGAGGAGCAGAAGGTGTCACATCCTTGAGCTGAATTCTGGAAACAACAAGAGGAGGAACAAATTGACACATTCATAATGCTAGGAGGATATGAATGACTTCCTTCCCCCTGACCACTGACAAAGTTATGAAATTAGAAACAGAGCCCATTAGGCACTACTCTTAGAACCACAGAATCATTTAGGTTGAAAAAGACCATCAAGTCCAACCGTTAACCTACTACTGCCATCCCACCACTAAATCCCTAAGCACCTCATCTACCCATCTTTTAAATACCTCCAGGGATGGGGATTCAACCACTTCCCTAGGCAGTCCGTTCCAATGCTTGACAACCCCTTCTATGAAAAAATTTTTCCTACTGTCCAACCTAAACCTAAACCTCTCCTGGTGCAACTTGAGGCCATTGCTTCTTGTCCTATCTCCTGTTACCTGGGAGAAGAGACTGACACCCACCTCACTACAGCCTCCTTTCAGGCAGTTGTAGAGGGCAATAAGGTCTCCCCTCAGCTTCCTCTTCTCCAGGCTAAACAACCCCAGCTCCCACAGACGCTCCTCATCAGACTTGTGCTCCAGACCCCTCACCAGCTTTGTTGCCCTTCTCTGGACATTCTCCAGCCCTTCCACCCTTCTCCAGCAACTCAATGTCCTTCCTGTAGCGAGGGGCCCAAAACTGAACACAGTATTCAAGGTGCGGCCTCACCAGTGCAGAGTAGAGGGGCACGATCACTTCCCTACTCCTGCTGGCCACAATCTTGTCCTCTATCCTTATACTTCAAATGCTTTTCAGATGCAAGCCTGAGCTAAATGGTAGCAGCTGTCTAGAGACTGCCATGGCCAGTGGTGCTCACATCTGTGTGACGACGGTGTGTGAGGGACGTTCTTTTTGGGGTGATGGGCTATTGCTTCCCTGAATCCATCACATGGGCTGAAAACGATAGTATGCAAAGTATTCTAGTGCTGTGCATTGCGCATTTAGAGTGCTCCCTCAGAAGTATGTGTTGGCATGCCAAAGGTGTGGTTGCAATCTATCGCACTGGCTCATTCAAAATGTCTTAACATAATTAAAAAGTACAATTAAGCTCCAGGCTATCATGTTTGAAGATCTCCTCAAGGTGTCTTCAAAGATGCTAGTCTGCAGCGTGCTAGAGCTTTTCAATTGTGTTAAATTAAAACCATCACAACACACATTTTGTTTGCCCGGCACAGAAGGAGAGCATGTGGTATCCATGTTTAAACTGGAAGCACCTGAAGAGGAGAATTGGGAGAACTAGACAGGGTTGTCACTAGCACCACCCACTAATGCAGCTTCTCTAGTGAAAACAAAATGAAAGCAGGAAAAGAGAGCGGTAGATTGGGAATAGGACTTCTGCCTGCAGAAAGGCATTGCAAAGTTACCACCGTTTGTCCAATCTGTGTAGAAAGTTATTTTTAAATTGCTGCTTTTGCTACCATTTTTATACCAAACTTGTTTTCTTTTTCAGTGTGAAGTTAAAATCTTTCAAATTCATTGTTAACCTCTGCTATTAACTCTGCTTTGAATCAGAAAATGTCATCCCTGGGAAGTCTGATCCGTTATTGCACTGAAGAAGACAGGCAGCCATCTTTGAAATTAAGTGATGCAGACTCGGCTGACCACACCAGGTTATAAACCACGTGTGCATCCAAGCGTGCATGTGCTTCTGTAGATGTTGATGGCATACATAGTTTATATTATGGTAACATCCGTAAAATAGTCAATGAGTGGGAATTAACAATTCTGAAGGAGGAAACAGCTTCAGGCGGAAGGGGGCAGGGGGAAGAAGGCAAAGGAATGCACTTTCTCTCTCTCTGGTATTACTGACACTTTGCCTGGTGTATGCTTCAGTTCCTATGATCCAGAGGTCTCCTGTACCAGTGTACAGTCCTGGGGAGGCTGACCTAGGCACTCTACCAAAATGCAACGGAAAACAACAACTGTTTTCAAAGGCTTAGAATCTGGATACTGAGAAGTGAAGGGAGAACAAATTACCTGAAAAAGAATGAAAGATGTTGTAAGAAAATGAAAATTTTAGGAGAAAAAACCCAAGAAATCTCAAGTGTGCTCCAAACCACTTTGATCGAGCATGACTAGCATTTATTTCAAGTCTACAACCATCATTTAGATGTTTTTGTACCATGGCAGATTTAAGCCTTCAGTTCTCTCCTGTAATACTTGATGTTATACGAGATGTCATTTTAGAAAATATGAGACCATGTTGGAAACCAATTTCCTGAAGAGCTACAAACAGGGTCATATCGTTATCTAGGGTTATACTCGCAGTTCTGGCAATTTTCTTTTTTAATAAGTATGGATAACTCCAAAGGACAACAAATGCTGTCCTTTATCTTACGTCTAGGTTTCAAAATCGCGCAAAAGATGCTTGGCACAAAAGAGGTCAGAAATCTCTCTGAAGACAGAGAACGATACAAAGTCCTTGATTTAACAACATAAAAAAGCCAAAGACACATTTGCACTGTCTGGGAGCTGAGCAGTTAAGCACAAATCATCAGTTCTGACCAGGGAACCAAGTAGTTATGTTAGAGGGGTTTACTAGCCCAGACGCTACACAGGGCTCATTGGCTGAGGCGCAGCGCTGCAACGAGTTATCCCAGTTCTGGGCTAGGGCCGCTTTGCACCTTGGTGGTTTGGACCACAGCCAGAAGAGCCACGTTCTGCTTCCACAATTTTGCACTGACAAGCCTGTAGAAGAATCAGCCATATCAAGTACATACAGCCAAATTAGACAAGCGAGCACTCATGCATTGACACTTCTTGAATACAGGCTACAAACTAACGTGCGTTTAGCCAGTTCCAAAACCAAAAGAAAAGCACCCTTTTATTCCTCTGAAATAACTTTTGCCGCATTCTTGCTGGATCCATCATAGATGGGTCTGCTTCAGCTCCAAAGCTGGGCAAGACCAGATAGGCAGGACAGCTGTTCCCTGAGAGCAGCCCTTGCGCCAGGTACAGAACTACAAATCATTGGAAGGCGGGAGGTGGGCTTTTCCCCCCTCCCTTTGGGAGGCTGCGAAGAGAAGAGCCGATGGGGTTCAGTGTCAGGCAGCTCATCGTTCCCCCCAGGTGCTGTAAAGCGCGCAAATCGTGCTTTCCACACTCCCGGCTGACTCCCCCTCGCCCCCGCACCGGCCTCCCCGACTGGACCACCGCTCCCCGGGTTGGCGCTGGCTCGTGCCGCTGAAGCCCGAG